CTTTGTTGGAACGGTGACAAGAACTTCCCTCCACCTGCTGCCACGGTGGTGGCCCCACCAGAAACCACAGCTGGGGGTGGAGTGGCTTCCTCAGCCCCTCACCCATTCACCTTGCACCCCTTCCAGGCATCAACATGCCCAGAGATATGCCCAGGCTCCCAGACCCCACCCAGTCAATGTACCGCCCACCGCACCTCAGAACTGGAGGGGGCGGGTGGAAAATATACGACCTAGCAGCCTTCTCTTGCTCCGGAAGAGCTGGAGCCGAGGTGACTTGCCCATGCTGCCCAGTGACAGCATGGTAGAGCCAGGATGCCTGAGGGGACCTGGGAGGGGAGGAGGAGTCACCAACCTGGTCCAGAAGCATTGCTTTGCTCCCAGAAGCTGGTGGTCTTCCTTATTTGCCTGTGTCTCCTCCCAGGTCAAAACTCTGCATCCAGCAAGCTCTGAGAGATGTGTGTGCACCTAGCACAAGGCCTAGCGCCCAGCTCCCAAAGTGTTTGATGAGAATAAGCAGTGATGTGGTTGAACGCTGCAGCGAGCAGGCAGAGGCAGGGACTTTGGAGGCAAGCTGGAACTGCCTGAAATCCTTTAGTGGTTTTATTGCTCTACGGGACTTCCACTTGGTGAGCTTTACTTTCCTGTCTGTAAAATGGGCCTCCTGTAGGATGGCTAAGAGAATTCGATAAGGTAAGGTTTGAAAACATACTGTAAGCAAAGCGGGTGACGTGGTCGTAACACAGCTGCTGGCTGGATTACCATAAGTCAGTTACACCAGCCCTCTCTAACCCTTTGCCAGAAGAATTCAGCGGGAGAGCTGGGCAGTGGCGGTGTTCGCCTTTAGTCCCAACACTTGGGAGGCAGAGACAGGCGGATCTCTATGAGTTCGAGGCTAGCTGCCTCGTCTACAAAGTGAGTTCCAGGATAGCCAAGACTGTTGCACATAGAAACCCTGTCTCAAAAAAAAAAAAAAAAAAAAACAACCAACCCAACCAACCCAACAAACAAAAAAGAAAGAAAGAAAAAGGAATTCAGTGGGAGGTGAATACCTAGATTGGACACTCAGCAATTGCCAGCCCATCTCCTCCCTTCCTCAGAGCCTCCCTTCGGTCCCCAGCCCCTCTGATTCCTGTCACCCCTTCCATGCTCCCTCTCTTCCCACCCTTATCCTCCAAGTGACTCTTTTAACAATAGAGCTCTGAAACTCTCCCAGTCCCTGTCTGCTCCCAGCTGGCTCTCTGCTGGGGGGCACAGGTGAGAATGGAGTGACTGAGAGAGGCCATGGGCAGAGCAGACACGAATCCTCATTGTCACCCCCCCCCCACTCTCTAGTCCAGAGGTTGCCTACAGCGCCCCAGCCGCAGAGGCTCTGTGGAGCCCGGGTGTAAGGAACAGGGCCGGTGGCGAACAGAAGTGCCCGCTCCAACGAGGTGGCACATCCACCAGTTAGCTGTGGGAGCTGTCGTGAAGGAGGCAAAGGTGGTTCCCGATTGGGTGACTCTTCGGCATTAGACATAGCTACAGGCTTAGCGCTAGCCAGGCTACAGAGAGCACCTCAGGGCCGGAGGAAGATACCTCTGCCCCAGTCACTGGACTGTAGTTGCATAAATCATCCAAGACAAACGCGCGCGAGTTCCCAGCCGCCTTGTGACTCAGGGAAAGGGTTCGGGGGCAATTCATCTGCAACATCTGTTAGACCTCACCATGGCGGACGCTTACTTAGGACAAAGCATTTTGTGCTGGGCAAGCTCTGACTTTGAGTGAAATGTCTTCCCTCCTGCCCTGTTGATAGAGGACTTGGGGGCTGGACCTCAGAATCTCCTACCCGGAGCTCATACTGAGAGCTGAGAATTGGGGGGTCGGGGAGCGAACTCTGTGTGTGACACAGCAAGCCTGGCCAGTGAACTCCATGGGCTTAGTGGGCAAGAGACAAAATAGGGTCATAGCCATTTTCAAAACGCACACAGGAGGGGGTGAGCCTGACATCAGCAGCGAAGTGTGACCAGATCACACACAAGCCGGAGGGCGGGACCTGTGGGCCATGGACATCCTCTCATAGCTGAGGTCGCAGGGCCAGTCAGTCAGAGAATCTCTGACTGGAGCTACCTCTGTTGACAGTGTCCCAGTCTGTGTCCCTGGCTGGGGCGCCTGCTGGGTGAGTGAGCTGGGACTCAGATATCTGTCCCTGTGCCCTGGAGCTTGGGAGCGTTTGTTCTTCTGAAGCCAGATAAGTTGTTCTTTTGGGGAGAGAATCCCCAGGACCATCACCCCTAGATTTTTCTAGGGAAACATGTCCATTTTTTTTTACCTTTACCTTGAAACAAACAAATAGTCATGAGCTCACTCTTGTCTAAAACTCAGAGGCTTGAGGATGTGTGTGTGTGTGTGTGTGTGTGTGTATGTAAGGGAGGGTATGTTTGTAAGGGAGAGAGTGTGTGTAAGGGAGTGTGTGTGTAAGGGAGGGTGTGTGTGTAAGGGAGGATATATGTGTAAGGGAGTATGTGTGTAAGGGAGAGAGTGTGTGTAAGGGAGAGAGTGTGTGTAAGGGAGAATATGCATGTAAGGGACTATGTGTAAGGGAGGGTATGCGTGTAAGGGTGTGTGTGTGTGTGTGTGCGCGCGCGCGCGCGCGCGCTCACGCACTCACACTCGAGAATTCATCTGTCTACTGAATGTGCTCTCCAAGTCTGGTCTCCAATATATAGCCCTTAGACACACCCCAATGTCCCGCCCTTCCTCAACCCCTATCCTTTCTTCCCTCACCGCCAACACGTGGGCTTGTTTCTTCCTCACCAACTCTGTCCTTGGCTAAAAAATGAAAGTTGATTATCTAATTCCCAAACGAGATGACTTATTTTCTTTTTTCAAATGGTCATATTAATGACAGGAACTATCTAAAGGGCAAGATAAGTTGTTTTTTCTTTTTTCTTTTTTCCTTTTTTTTTTTTTTTTTTTTTTTTTTTTTTTTTTTTTTTTTTTTTTTTTTTTTTTTGCAGGGTTTCTCTGTGTAGCTTTGAAGCCTGTCCTAGATCTCCTTCTGTAGACCAGGCTGGCCTCAAACTCACAGAGATCCACCTGCCTCTGCCCCTCCCCAGCCCCGCAAATGCTGGGATCTAAGGCCTGCGCCACCACTGCCTGCCTGAGAGGTTCTTATTGAGTATGGATTGAGACAGGATTGAGGGTGACTCTGTCAGGTGGTGGGGTTGGAATTCAAGGGATACTCTGAGATCAAAGAGCTCCTAGAGACCTCAATGATGACATGTTTTCTTTTCCTTGGGCCTCAGCTGTCTCACCTGGTCACCTGGCAGGGGAACTGAATGTGGTGGTCTTGAATCAGCAACCGTTTTCTTTCCCTGGGACGTCTTCCCCCCTTGCTCTCCACCATTTGCTTATCCATCGTCTATTTCGTATCTATTTGTTGAGCTGGGGTCTTGTTATTGAACCTGAAGCTTCTGCTTTCATTGAGACTCAGCTGGCCTGAGGCTCCAGGACCTGCCTTTCTCCATTGTCCTCAGCACCAATCCTGGCTTTTGCATGAGTGTCGTGAGTTCTGGATGCAGGGCCTCATACTGGTGCAGCAAACATTTTACCCCTGGGCCATCTCTCATGTGCCACCCCCCCTTTTTTTTTTCTTCAAGACAGGGTTTTTCTATGTATCTCTGGCTATCCTGGAACTCAGACCAGGCTGGCCTTGAACTCACAGAGATTCTCCTGCCTCTGCCTCCGGAGTGCTGGGATTAAAGGTGTGGGCCACCGCTGGCCCTCTCTCTTTTTAAAAAGAAACATTTTATTTTTTTTTAAAGATTTATTTATTTATTATGTATACAATATTCTGTCTGTGTGTATGTCTGCAGGCCAGAGGAGGGCACCAGACCTTATTACAGTTGGTTGTGAGCCACCATGTGGTTGCTGGGAATTGAACTCAGGACCTTTGGAAGAGCAGGCAATGCTCTTAACCACTGAGCCATCTCTCCAACCCCCTTNCAATATTCTGTCTGTGTGTATGTCTGCAGGCCAGAGGAGGGCACCAGACCTTATTACAGTTGGTTGTGAGCCACCATGTGGTTGCTGGGAATTGAACTCAGGACCTTTGGAAGAGCAGGCAATGCTCTTAACCACTGAGCCATCTCTCCAACCCCCTTTATTTTTTTTTTTTTAAAAATTGTTTTTGCTGGGTGGTGGTGGCGCACGCCTTTAATCCCAGCATTCAAGAGGCAGAGGCAGGTGGATTTCTGAGTTTGAAGCCAGACTGGTGCACAGCCAAGGCTACACAGAGAAATCCTGGAAAAACAAAAGCAAAACAACAACAAAAGACTTATTTATTTTTATTTTATGTGTATGAGCGTCTTGCTGCCACATATGTCTGTGCGCCACGTGCACGCAGTGCAAGCTGAGGGTGTCAGATCACATGGGACTGGAATTGCAGGCCAATAATAGCTGCCATGCAGATGCTGGGAACTGCAGTGGGGCCCTGTGGAAGAGCAGCTTAACCACTGAGCCGCCTCTCCAGCCCTGGAATGTTTTAAAGCTCTAATTTCTCAAATATCTCCCAAAAGATTATATCACTTGCCTGGGTGTTTCTAAGTACTTTCTTTTTATAGATGAGGTTTCCTCCTTACCTCAACCCTGGGAGGTAGGCTCTACTAATGACTCCATTATGCAGATTTGGAAACTGAGGCCTTGTAAGGGAGTGGGGCTCTGAAGCAGGCCATCTGGCTGTAGAGCCGGAGCTCCCTACTACCCCGCTCAACATTCCGGGCTCCTTGCTAAGTGTTTACCCAAATCGTCCGTGTTTTGCAATGGAGAAATCTGAGACTCAGAGCGGTTGAGCAACAGCTGAAGGTCACACAGCTGGGGAGCAGCAGGGTTGAGATTCAGGGCCGGCTGGGCTCCAGAACCTCTGTTCTGCATCCCCTTTGGCAACCCTGCCAGACCCTCAGGCTCCACAGCCAGCTTAAGCAACCTCCCCTCATCGCTGCTGGGTCCCTCTGGGTGAGTCAGCTCCTTCCTTCATCTAGAGAATGACAGGGGTCAGCCCCTGTGCCCTGAGGTCTCTGGCAGTCTGCTGAACCTGTGAAACAGGCGGGGTGGTACCTTCCAGCAGGAAGGGCAGCTCCGTGGCCTGGGAATGTCTGAGATTTGACCTATGAGTACAGCCAGGGAGGATATGGATGGGGGCTGGTGTGTGTGTGTGTGTGTGTGTGTGTGTGTGTGTGTGTGTGTGTGTGTAACAGGGGAGCGTTGAAGAAGCGAAGGGTTCTGTGGGCAATTCTAGGATGATGGCGAGGAGGTGCAAGCTTAGGGAGAGGGTGTTGTTGTACCAAGCAGATGAGAAGGGAGAATGGGAAAGAAGACCCAGGTGGGCTCCCTGGGGGTCCTTCTCTTCTCTTCTGGAGGACACCCTTCAGTTCAAGATAGGCACAAGAGTGCATCAGGCCAGGCCTCAGTGGTCAAGCCAGCTTAGGGCTGAGGTTAGAACTCCGGAGACACAGCAGTTTGGGGAATTAACATTGCTGGGGGTTTTGTTGTTTCTGTAAATATTTGGAGACGTCCAGTTATACTAGAAAAATGTATTTGAAGCCAGGGTGGCGTGTTTGTGTGGTTGGCCCAGCTTCCTTTTCCATGACCGCTCGCTTACATTCCTCCCCTGTAGGAATTGAGGGTTGTTTTCCCATCTGTAACCTCATTAGGATACACACACCCACACACACTCTGGCAGGTTCCCCTTGGGGACGTACACATTCAGTGGCATCATCCTTCTGCCACAATGCCTGTGGTCACACAGTCGCAGCTGTATCTTTTAATATTCAGTACCCATCATCCCGAAAGCCGCTGCCTGCTGGCTGCGCTCGCTCGTGCCTCGTGCTAGGTGCTAGTCCCGTCTCCTCGTGCTTCTCCCAGGGTGCTCAGTTCCTGGCCTGTGTTAAAATCCTCCTAGCCCCCTGCAGCCTGTGGAGGAGGGTAATGGGTGTGTTTGTGCTTCCAAGATTAGCGAATGGGCATCCTTACGGGGCGGGCTCCATTTTCTTTGGGTTTAGGGGAAATTGGAATCCTATTTCTGTGTGAACGGCTGGCCTCTCTCTCCTTCATGCCTCATCCACACCCTGCTCCAAGCTCAGAGGGCTTAGGGTGCCTTCAAACACTTTCCTGGGCATTGTGGGTTGGACTAACCTCTCTGGCTTGGGGAAGGTAGGGACACAGTTGGGCTCTGGGGAACAATGTCAGGGACACTTGGGCTGTGGCGGGGTGGGGTGAGGGTGGACAGAATCAAGTCCTCTCCCTCTGCTTTCCACAAGGATCCCTACACTGCTGTCTTTTGAATGGAGATGTCCCTCCAACAGCCCCATGCAGGAACCTGAGCCTGTACTGATGGTACTGGAGCCCTTGGGGTATAATGGACTGGTCAGGAGGGCTCTGCCCTTCAGGAGTGGGGCTAATGCCTTAGAAAAGGGCTTGAGAGAACTAGCGTGGGCTTTATGCCCTTCGTCTCACTTCTACAACCGTGAGAATAGATTTCTATTGTTTATAAGTTTCCCCGACTGTGGTATTTTGTTATAGGCAAGAGGAACGGACTAAGACACGCGCTACAGAGGGCCACTGTTACTCGAGGCCAGAAAAGAGGACTCTCCAGCACCCAGGGAGGAGTCCCACCCAGCCTGTGCCTCCTGTCTCATCCTAGCCCCTTACTCTAGAACACCACCGTGACCTCTTAGCGTTCCACCAAACGCGAGTTCTCAGAGGGGTTTGTGGCGGTCTGAAGGCTGCCTGACAAGGACCAGGGCTGCTCCCGGCTGGTGGAACAGCAAACACACCAGGGTGCAAACGCGGCTGGGGTCCACTAAGGTCCCCTGGCACAGACGCTCCAGGCACAACCTGGCCTTTCCGTTCTCTGCTCAGAGTGGTCTCCCATGTGCACAGCTGCCCGCACGGCCCTGGGCTCCTGCGAGATGAGCATCCTGCCCTCCAGTCTCCTTCCATCTCTTGTGGCTCCTGGGCTCCTCTCTCTGGAGGCACTCCGTGACCTCATGTTTCTGAGAGCTGAGAAAGGAAGGCTGCCGAGGAGGGGTGGAGGGGTGTGCGGAGCGGGTGTGCAGAGCAAGCGAGTGAGCAAGAGCCATCAGGTGGAGTGTGGGGATTACCAAAGAGCTCACTCACTTGCCCTTTACCAAAGAATTCCCCCCCTCCATCTTTTAAAGCTGCTGTTTCCTCAAGGGAAATTTTTATTTGTGTCTGAGTAAAATATGTGCTTTTATAAATTGAAAGCAGAACAGGAGGAGAGGTTTCTGTTGCTGACAGAGAATAAAGAAGCAGCTTGCTGGCCTTTGTCAGCCAGCAGGGCCACCTTCCTCCTTGCCCCTGACCCTCCTCCCAGCTTTTTCCTCCCACCCGAGAGGAGAGGCCTGACCACTTGTCCGTGGTCATCCAGAGCCCCAGCTGGGACTGCGTTCAGGCTGATGATGCAGCCTGGCCGGCAGGAAACGCCGCCCCCTCCCTGGGGAGAACTGAGGAGGGGCAGAGGGGAGGGGCAGCAGTGTTCGGAGGGAGCATGGAGACCACCATCTCTTGTTGGCTTGGTGACCGTGGAGAAGGAGGCTGGAAGAAGGGAGCTAAGTCAGAGTTAATCAGACCAGTCAGTCCATGGCTCCCCTTCCTTCCTCAAGCCAGGAAGTGATTCCTCCAGCTTGGCTTTGGGGGACAAAACCTGAGTTTCTGGAATATGTGACCTTTGTCCTTGAATCCACAGGACTTCTTGCTAGGCTAGCAGAGAGTTCCTGCAGAGGTCACACCAGTCCATTCCCGCCACGGGCATGTCCACCAGCCCCACACCCTTCACTCCAGAAGGTACGATGGCCTCTCAAATCTTACTTTTGTCTGTCAGTTTGGGGACAGCTGTCCTGGTTTGGGTAATCATTTCTCAGCAGAGTCTCTGCCAGCCTTGGTTGAGGTAGCATGGGTAGCAGTTTCTTTGGCCCTGAGGTCAACCTGACTGGCCAGACCTGCTCTTCCCTCAGCAGCTCTTTGGTGGGTCCTGAGTCCTTGCATCTGCTCCCAGTCCCCACTATAGGGCCCCTGGGCGAGTTGCTCGTAGTCCGAGCAGGGGAGCCCTTATGGGGAGAAGGTGGTGGTGGTCTCGGCCTCCATGCTCGTGGAAGCGTGTCGCACGTGCCGGCAGGAAGACCACTGCCGGAGCTGCTCCTGGCTGAGGCAGCCCAGGTCCTTGAAGAGCTTAAAGAGGTCGCTGCGGAACTTGACCCCGATGAAGGCATACAAGAAAGGGTTGACGCAGCAGCGGACACAGGCCAGGCTGTAGGTGACGTCATAGGCGATATTGAGCTGCTTGCTGAGTTCACAGCTGCTGTTGGTGATGTTGAAATTGGCCACCGTCTGGGCCAGGACCACTCCGTTGTAGGGCGCCTGGAAGACAATGAACACCACCACAACAGCAATGATCACCTTGATGGCCTTGTTCCGCTCGAAGTTTCGTGCCTGGAGCAGGGTGCGGATGATGACGAGGTAGCAGAAGCTCATGGCCAGCAGAGGCACTAAAAAGCCGATGACCATCTGGGCCACTTGGATGGTGATCAAGGCCTCCACGTGGTCAGTGATGAGCGAGCATCTCCACGTGTCCTCGCTGTAGCTCTTCTGGAGGCCGCTGTAGAGCAGCTCCGGGGTGGAAAGCAACAGGGCCAGCATCCAGATAAAAACGCACGACAGTTTGCTGATGAGAAGCACGCGGGCGCGGTGGCGGTGGGCTGACACGGCCTGGACGATGGCCACGTAGCGGTCGATGCTGATGCAGAGGAGCAGGAGCATGCCGCTGAAGAAGCTCACTTTATAGATGCCAAAGATACACTTGCACAGGTAGACCCCAAAGATCCAGGACTTGGCTGCGCTATAGGCCCAGAAGGGGAGGATGAGGAGGAAGAGGATGTCGGCCACGGCCAGGTTGAGCAGGTAGGTGTCCGTCATGGTCTTGAGCCTCTTGAAATAGATGTAGGTCAACACCACCAGCCCGTTGCCCATCAGGCCCACGAAGCAAATGACCGAATACATGATAGGGAGGAACCAGGCCTTAAAGTTCCGCACGTCTTTCTTGAAGCACACCGACTCGTACAGGGTATAGTCCACTGTGGTGTTCTCACCAACATAGTCATCTGTGACTTCATCTTGGCAGAAGCACACCTGCAGGGGAAGAAATACCCGCTTAGCTAGCTGCCTGGATCTGCTTGGGACTCAGCCTAGGATGGTGCTTCTATCACGGACTTGCTACTTCTTGGAAATTCTCAGACCTTAGCCCCATGGAGCCAGCATCTCAGAAGGCAGGGCCCAGGAATCTATATTTGCCCCTCGAACTCTGAGTAAGTCTTTGATCTGAAATCACTGCGTGTGGGGCTGGAGAAGTGGCTCAGTGCTTAAGAACGTGTGGTAGATGCTTTTGTAGAGAAGTCTGGTTTTGTTCCCAGACCTCACAACTGTTTGTGACCCCTGTTCCACAGGATCGGATGCCCGCTTCTGACCCCCCCCCCCGCCCCAGACAGCCCGTATATGTGTGGTGCGCTTAATATGCATGCAGGAGAAACATTTGCACACATAAAATAAATCTAAATAATGAGTTTAGTGTGCACGTGAATTCCCTAAGGAGGGGATCTTGTTCAATTGCACATCTTGCCTGGGTAGACTGAGGCAGGACCTGAAGTCTAGGTTTCTACATATCAGGAGACACGATTTGATTTTTGCCAACTCTTGGGACACCCAGTCTCACGATTGCTGTTGGAGGACTGGAGAGAGTCTAGGGTTTTGGGGTCGGCTGGGGTTTGGTGGGGGCAAAACCTATGTTAGGGTCAAGGTTGAGGAAGGTCTGGAGCAAGAAGAGAAGATCAAAGTTCCTGGGTAGGACTAGATTTCAGTTGATGGACCACTACTGTGGTGACTGTGGACCATTGGTAGGAGACATGGAGATTTCCATGGCTCCATGGTGCCCACTACACTCAGGTAGTAGATGCACATGTGTGCCACTGGATGGCCGAGCCTCCGGGACAGGGCTCCTGCAATGCCCTTCCTATGGGTGCTCGAGCCCCTGGAAGGAAGCTCTCTCTTCTCCCACTCTCCCTCTGTGTTCCCACCCTCTCCCCACCCCTCTTTGCCTGACTTCCGGCAGATCCCAATCAGCAGGGCTCAGCTGTTCTGGGCTTTTTTTAGCCCTTTTGCAAGGCTACAGGGTGTGTGGGGGAAGGTTCAGCATCTGCTGTGATTTTTATCAATGGAGGGGTGCCTGCTGTGTGTGTGCGCGTGCACGTGTGTGCATGCCTGTGTGTGTGCGCGCGTGCACGTGCGTGCATGCCTGTGTGTGATAAAGATGGACTGCGGTAGATGAAGGGGAGTGGGTTGAAGACCTACTTTGGAAAACTCATGGTTCCTTCACTGGGGAAGTGACTTTCAACCACTCAGTGGGAACCCACAGATTGTACCTTTACTGGCAATGGAGGGAGGACAAAGTGGCTTTTGGGAGCCTTTTCCTTGGGCATTTGCTAACTTGAGAAGAAAAGTCTGCAGCAATGTTCTTTCCTTGGTCCAGGTGTGACTGTAGCCCCCCCCCCGGAGGGCGGCGGGAGAAGTTAGCTGCGTTTAGCCCCTCATGAATGGGTCCAAGGCCTAGGGTCTGAGGCCTGTGGATTAAGGGACTTCTAGACCCCTCGGAGGACAGAACTCCCAGCTTCTAAGAAGTGTGCTCCTCCGCCCCCCCAAGCTTGTCCTCTCCCCCCTCCCCTTGCTCCTCCTCCACACCCTCCCCCTAGGCTTGCCGCCTCTGCAGCCCACAGTCCCACCACATCCGGCCCTGTCTGAACCCCCCTTTCCCCAAGTGAAAGACAAAAACCAGCCACAGATGTCTTCACCCTTCCCTGGCCTTCCAGCCAGCAGTACAGGAGGGGAGGGAGCGGTGATGGGGAAGGGGCCAGGCTCAGGGCTACAGCCCAAGCTCCAGGGGGCCTCTAAGATGGGGTTTGGGGAACAGTGCCCAGCATGGGGCCTGCCCCTGGCCTGAGCTCCTGGAAAGCTGCCCCTTCTGGCCTCCGGACCTGGGGGAGAGTCAAATTCTGAAGCATTACTTCTCCAGGCTGGCCTTGGCCACCCCCTCCACCTCCAGAGAGCTCCCACCCAAATGGAGGAAACTTGACTCTGGGAGTTACAGTTTCTCTGACTTGCTGGGGCACCATCTGCCTCCTGGCCACTGTGAAACAGGCTCTCTGCTGTGCAGAATTCAGACCTCTATACGTGTTCCCTTCACCGTCCTCTCTACAGGGTCCCGGCGCCACTTTCTCCTGCCCCCTCCCCACGGGCAGGCCAGATGGCTCTCTCTTTTAGGAAAGAGCACATAGAATGAGGTTACAAGGAGAACCTTGGACTGAAAGGCAAGAGGAGACAACTTTGGGTGACTGGAGAGGAACCAGATTCCCAGCTCACAGACGGACACATGCCTATGTGCAAAACAGGCCCCCTCCGAGCACTGTGCTGTGCAGCGCGATTCTCTCTAAGAACTCAGAAACTGCGATTCTGTCTCCTGGGTGGGAAGGTGGGAGGTGAAGCGATGGAGGTGTGGGTAGGTCACTTCCCCCTGAGTTTAATTTAAGTGGGGACAAAGGAAGTCCAGAGAATGTCTGCCCCAACCCCCAAACCCCAGGAGAGAGGTGGCAGTCAGCTTAATAAATGACAGGTGGGCTGTGTCTGGGTAGTTCCTTCCCTTCTAGGGAACCAGAAGTCCTGGCTGGAGAGGGGAGACGTGGAGGAGGGGAGAGAGCGCGCTTCCCCTGGCAGGAGACCTCACCTGGAATATGACAAGGAGAGCCACCACCAGCAAGTTTTTCATGGGTTTGCCTGTAGGAGACAAAGGAGGTGATGTTATTGCCTGGCAGAGACAAGGCTCTGTTATTAAGGAAAGTGGGGGATTGCGGGGGGGGGGAGGGGATCACCGTGGGGAACTTTCATCCCAGGCTCCAGGCATCGCGTTTGCTGAAAGAGAACATCAGAACCAGATTGTGCGTTTGAACACCTGGCCGGCTGCCCAGCATCCCTGTCTTCACCTCCCTCCCTTCCTCCTCCACTCCCAGGTCTGGGAAAGAAGCAGAACAGCTCCCCTCTCCCCCCTCCCGCCTTGGCCCAGCCAGGCTGTTGCTGGTTTGCAGAATCCATTGTACCCCAACAGCCCCTCAAGACTGCTGGCTCCACACAGGGGGCCTGAGCACCCCCTTTTTCCCATCCCACAGGAAGCAGGAAGAGGAGGCAAGGCTCTGGGGTGGTCAGGGTGTATGCACACATGTCCAGCTCTGCCCTGGTGACAGGACCCACTGGCCTGGGAGCATTTCTTGGTGTCCAGATGCGTGGATAGCCACCTGTGAAGCCTTACAAATGTCCCAAGGGAGCTGACTTGTTTGCTCTCTTTTAACTTGTCTTCGAATGCCCTGTAGACAGGGACCCTTGGCTAGAACAAGTTGTTTGTGCCGTGGACAGCTCCTCATTCTGCTTAAGGCTGAGCCTTGGGCCAGCCTGGGTTGTGTGTCCTTCTAAGCAAGAAGACAACTGGCAAAGCGGTTTTATCTTATCCACCCATTTTTGCCTTTGAGACCCTTCTCTAGCCCCCAAATCCCAGTTCCTCAGATCCACAGGAGAGTCAGTCTCTGTAATGGGATGCGTGAATGTCACCTAGGCCAAACCAGAGACTTTGTTCCAGGCATCTTCAGGAGGCTGGGGGCCCTCTGGAGGTCCGGGAAGCTGCACAAACCCAGAGGTTATGTGTCCTTGGCCATAGCACCACCTGCTGGAGTTTGAGCTACATGACACCTCCATGTGCTCTAGCCTGAGAGTGCCGGGACTGGGGATTTTAAGCTTGGCTACACTCAGTACCATCAGGGAGGGCATCAGGTCACCAGATGAGCGTTCTTCCCACCCGCACATCTTCCTTCATGCTACATAGACACGCCTTACTAAAGCATAGCTCTGTGGTCTCTCCCCACGGTGCCTCCTTGCTAAATCTCCAAAGAGTTCTTTCTCGCTCTAAAGATGGAGAGACCCTTATGCTTAACACAGTGCTCAAGCCTCCAACCATCTCCTCCAAGTCCTTGCCTCCCTAGCTCCACTTTTTTCTGGGGACAGCCAGCCAGTGTCCCCTTGTTCTCAGCTTGTCCCAGATCATTTGCAGCCAGGAGTGGGAACATCGCCACGTGGCCTCTCAGGTCCTCTCTCCTCCTCCTCCTTTCTAACCGAATTACCCCTTGAGCCCCCGTGCTCAAGGCCACGTGTTCATGCTTAACCACACTCTCTTCAGGGTCTGCTGCGCAGCCCTCCCTCCCCTGACTCATTTCGGTGTTTGCGCGTTCGAGGTTTCTTTCAGCACGTCAACGTCTTTCGGTTATTGCAGGGAAAGCTCAATCTGACTGTCAGTGAGAGCAAGAACTCCCTAGGGGGGACAAGAGCTGTTTCTCTGTTTTACTCTGTCTGCCCCATCTCCTGGGCCCTGTCCCTGGTCCGTTGGCAGCCACTGTGGGGAGGGGCTCTAGGGCGTGTGATTAACATTGCCTTCTCATTCCAGGGATGCTGGATATGGGATAGGGGCGAGGGGTTGGTGAGTCTCAGGGTGCTGTAGATCTAGGACAGGCCCTTTTGGAGGCAGTTCACCAGGGGAACTTGGGGGAATTCGCATGTGTGATGGCAGAAGGACCTGGTCAGTGGCAGTGAGTCACAAGGCTCCTACCTGTCATCAGTCATAAGGCAACTCTGCTCTTGGGCAGTGGTTGGGAATGTCAGGCTTGAGGAGCCACCGACTGAGGGGCTGGGTGTTTCCTGAGTTCTCGGGTTTGCAGAATGACTATGATGAAAGAAAAATTCCCTAGCACTCCAGCCTGACCCCCCACCCCACTCCACCATGGGAAACTGTCTCCCCCTCCGGCCCTAAAACTCCCACCTGTTTACTTTCCAAGTCCCCCCCCCCCCAGACTACCCAGGAAACCCTGGCTGCCCACCATCGGGCCCCAGAAACACCTCAGACATTGTCCTCTCTGGACTTTCTCAGCCATGGTATGTGTAGGGGCGTGGGAGAGAGAGGAGGCAGAAGCAGGGAAGCGTTAAGGGGATCCAGAGAGCAGATGGGAGGCAGGAATGCTGGGAGCTTGTCAGTAGGGTACCAGATCTTTCATCAGTGATACAGCTGGCACTCACTGGGTTCTCATCGCGCTGTCCACATACGGGTACCCTCGCCCCGTCCGTCCTCATGGATACCCTGGGAGGTTCTCACGTGAGGAACCAGAAGCACAAGGCTTTCCCAGGGTCACCCAGCTGGCCGTCTAGCTGTGGAAACCACACTCCTACCCACTCTTGCTATGTTTCTTCCCCTCAAAACATCTTGGAAGCTACTAACTGTACTCCTTTTATATTCTAGAGAACAGAGGCCCAGAGAGGTTAAGCTGCGTTACTGGAGCCACACAGCTACCAAAATGTAGATCAGAGATGTGAATGAGACACCTAGCCTGGGTTCTCACGACGGAGTCATGTGACATTCCTGATGGTCCTCCACAGGCCAAGGCAATTCTTGCCCTCTATATTGTCACTGCCACCAGCTGCCCATTTCTGTTGCTTCTACACCTTCGTCTCTTGAAGCCGGATTCCTTCTCTGTCCTGATCCAAGGCCTTGCTCTTCCTCACTCTTTCCAAAACATACATTTCACCTATTTACCCATCTCTTTGGAAAGAGGGGGAAAAAAACCTCTTTGCTGGCTCCCATTCCTTTTAGGATGATGTATGGACCCCCTGATGGTGTCACACAGAGCTGTAAGGATTGTCCCAGCCTGGCTTCCTTTTTGACACACCCACTTCCCCCCACTCCCCTTGGCCTGTGCCTTTTCCTCCTTCTTGTCCCTCTATGGTCTTCACCAGAGCTGAATGACTAGGAGTCCAAGGTGTATGTGTGACCATATGGAGGTCAGAGGTTGACATCAGGGGTCTTCCTTAGTTTCTCACCACCTTTTTTTTTTTTTTTTTTTTTTGAGACAGGGTCTCTTACTGAACCTGGAGTTTGCCAGTGCCCTAGGGATCCAAAGTCTCTGCCTCCCTCGGGCTGGCATTGCTTGTGTGCATTGCTATGACCAGCTTTTAAACACAGTCTCTGAGGCTCCAGACTCAGGACCTCGTGCTCGTGCGGCAATCAGCTTCCTGACCGAGCCGACTCTCTGGTCCCTCATTTGCCTTGTTGACTTCCGATGGCCATAGAGTCTGAAGTCCCTGCCACATCCTGACCCCTTAGGTCTTCTTTTGGCTTGACAACTTCTACGCGCTCTTCCCAAACACAGCCTAGACACGTCCCTGATCCGCACTCACAGTTTTGTTTTTGTTTTTCACTCTTGTCCTCATACCCTAGGGAGTGCTGGAGCACGTTGACATATACGTTATCTCCCCACCAGACTGGCTACTCATAAAATTCTCACTGAATGACACAGTGACCGGAAGAGAAAACCATGGAAGGGGAGTGTTTTCTCCTAGCTACCCTGGGCTACCGTGTTGTTCTCCACAGCCAGGTTTCTGAAGGGCCAGGAGGAGCTGACCCTGAATCCCCTTCTGCCACCATCTGTGGATCAGTGGTGAGACACGAGTCTCTCATGGGTTCGTGTTTCTTATCTCTGCTTTTGAGAAGTTGTGCTGAGATCTGTGGCCCCATTTCTTGAAGGTGGGGAGGGCACCTCAAAGGCTGCTCATTCAAATCACGAAAGAGCCCCGGTTTGGAGTTTTTCATTTTGTATAACAGAAACCCGGCCTCCTCACACACTTCTTGTCTCTGCTGGGCAGACAGGGAGTGAAAAACAGATTCTTTGTGGCCCACCCGCCCTTCCAACGGCCCGAAGCCTGTTTTGAGCAAAGGTTCTGGGCAGTTTCCCCTCACACCAGCAGTTCAGGGTTAGCAGTTGGGGTGCTTTTGAGATGAGTGAAAAAGCAAGCCAACCCCTTCTTCCAGGACCAGAGGTTGCCCCACCCCCTGTACCAAAGCCATGCGTCTAGCATCCCCAAATCTAGTCCAGGAGAGGCACTCTATTATGTCCCAGTGCCAGGAAGGCTGGTGTCCATCCCCCGTTTGTGTTAAACATTTGGACCTTGAATGGATCAACTGGGATAGGAGAATTTACACCATGGAAATTAGCAAGTGCTATAAATTCAGAGCCTTCCCTCTATGCTGGGAGCTGCTTCTGAGAGGTTAATATAGGGAAGGTGGAGAAGGTGGACAGTGTGAACACTCTGGGACAGTGACCGGTGGAGCTAGATACCTGGGGAGTAGGCCTAGAAACAGGCTGGTGGCAGAACAAGCTGGAGTAGACAGATAATCAAAATCTAAAACCTATTTAGAGTGATTGATTCCATCCATCCATCATCCATCTGTCAATCATCCACCCATCTATCCATCTACCCATCTATCCATCCATCCATCCATCCATCCATCCATCCATCCATCCATCCATCCATCCCCATCCATTCATCATCCATCTATCTATCTATCTATCTATCTATCTATCTATCTATCTATCATCTATCTATCCATCCATCCATCCATCTACCTATCCATCCACCCATCCATCCCCATCCATTCATCATCCATCCATTAATCATCTATCTATCTATCTATCTATCTATCTATCTATCTATCTATCATTTATCCATCCATCATCCATTCATCCATCTACCTATCCTTCCACTCATTCATCTCATCAATGTTTTCTAACTATACCCTGAAACATCTGGGAGGCAGAGGCGTAAAAACAAAACTCTGCTTCCCCCGAGTTCCCAGCCAGCAGAGGTGGTCACCATATATACCTTCCACAGCTGGGTCCAGACCCAGTGTGCAATGCATGCTGGGCAGGGGAGGCAGAGATAAAGGTGCTGCTGGCTGTGGTGTGGTGGGGAGGGGTGTGAGGGCAGCACCAGGGAACCTTCACTTTTTAAAGTCAACCCCTTGTGGCTTTGAGGCCACAATGGTGCTTTACTGGCTGATGAGCGGAACCCTCTAGGAACTTGGCCTTTTTAGCCTCAGTGGGGTCTGACTCTGCAGCCGAGATTTATGATTCGTAACTGGGGAGTCTGGGGCTAGTCTACCTACTCTGTGCCTCCTGGGACTTCCCTGGTTCTTTTCAGAGGCTATGCTGAGAGGAGCAGTCTGTCTGCTGGGCTGTGGTGGGTGGGGTTTATTTAGGGGCTCTGCTGTGCTCAGAGGTCTGGCTATAGCTCCTCTATGCCGAACGCTCCCCTCCCCCCATTAATCACTGGTCCTTTAACTTGCAAGAGGCACTGAGCTAATGGGATGGGTAGGAGGAGAGAGAGAGAGAGATAGAGACAGAGAGACAAAGAGAGAGAGAGAGGCAGAGGTTGCAGCTTGCATTTGGATTTGCATGACCCCACAACACAAAACACTGCCCCATCCAATTTACTCTTTCTTATCCAACTCCACAGGGTTGGAGATTCAAATCCTGGTTTAACAGGAGAGAAAAGGTGGGCACAGACAGGGAGCAGGGTGTCCTGAGGTGCCAGAGAATGTCACCTATCACTCCCAGCTGAGAACATGTTCTATCCAGGTCAAACAAGGTCAGCCAGCCACACTCTTTATTCCCTGCTGCTTTAGAAGATGCCACTTTATTCCCCTTGTTCCTCCTGGCATCTGCCGCCGTTCCCTCCCTTTCAGATGGGTCTGAAAGGGCAGGCACATCCTCGGGGGCTGGGGGCAATAGGGTGACATTATCTGGGAGCAGCTGCCAATTCATACCGACTGCCCTGATTTCTCTGGCAGCTCCCCTCAGGACCCAATCCCACCCTAGACTCATTGACCAGCATCTGGTTTTTCTACTCGCATAAGGAGGCTTACTCACCCAGGTCCATGATGCTTTCTGGGCAGCTGAAGTCACACAGGAAGGCTGTACTTGTGTCTCTGTCTCCAGCTACCCCTGTCTGGGAGGAAGTGGTATTGAGCCCCTTTTAAGTAGTAAGAGAAGACACCCTCGTCCTTGCCCCTCCCACCCCTGCTCCTCCCTCAACCCTCCCTTAGAGTCTTCTGAGACCACAGGGTAAAAAAAGCGACAGAGTGACAGCCCCACTCAGCGGTCACAGGACTCTGAATCATGGGTCCTTTACATTCTGAAGGGTCCTGGCACCACCTGGTAGAGCCTCAGCGAGGGGCTCTTTCCATCTGTGGTGCCCAGCTGGCTGGCTGGCTGTGCCATGAGGCTCAGGAGTCAGAGATGGGCTTCGTCCTTCTCTTTGTTTTGAATGAAACTCTTTTCAGACCAGCATGGACTTGAACAACAGCGACTGTCCCAGCGTCCACCTGCACAACTAGTTAGTGTAAGGTCCCCTGAGGGGTCTGGCCATCATGGATGGGCTGGTGAGCCTTCAATGACAAAACCACAAAGTGAAAGTTGAAGAGTTTGCTTTTAGTGTTTAAAGATGCTAGATACGAGAGTGCCTGTAACCCCTTGGCTTTCTCTGCCACCAGAGACGGCTGCCTTTACCAGGCCTAAGCCATTATCCAAACTGGCTCCCTACAGAGAACTTTTCTTTCTTTCTTCCTTCCTTCCTTTCTTTCTTTCTTTCTTTCTTTCTTTCTTTCTTTCTTTCTTTCTTTCTTTCTTTCTTTCTTTCTTTCTTTCTTTCTTTCTTTCTATTTCTTGAGACAGGGTCTCATTTGTCATCTAGCCCAGGCTGGCTTCACACTTGCAACATAGCTGAGGATGACCTTGAACTTCTGGTTCTCCTGCCTCCACCCACCCTGTGCCAGGATGAATAGGCACATACTACCATACCCCATTTCCCCCGAGGGAGACTTGTAATTCGTGTTTTAAATAAAAAAAATTGTATTAATTTTATTGTTTTGTGTGTGTGTGTGTATGACTTGTGTACACGTGTGTCTGTGTGTAGTCGTCTGCATGAATATGGGAATTTCACGCCATTGCTCGTGTGTGGAGGTCAGAGGACAACTCCAGGTGCCAGCCGTCTTCCCTTTTGTTGGAGGTTCTGGGGATTTGAACTCAGTCCCTCATGCTGTGAGGCAAACTCTTTTATCCACTGAGCCATCTCCTCAGTCCAATTAGTCTATGTTTTAAAACAAACATAGAGCCCATGCTGGGCTTGTTAGGTGGCCACTGAGTTCTAGAGCAAATATCTGAATGTTCCATTTCCAGGAAAGACACCTGTACATTTTCATCCCTGGCCGCTGGCTGCAGTCAGTTCAGTGAGGAACAGCACCTGGCACAGAGTTTGGAATGGCTTAGCCTTGCTTCTGTTCTAAATAGTTTAAAAACAATTGCCATGGCAACATAATGCTGCAAGCCCTCACTTGTTCCCCTTGTTCTGCTCAGTGTATAGGGACTACATTTCCCAGATAGCTTTCCCTTTGGCTTCTGGGGAGAACAGACCAATGAGGATGCACTGACAGGCAATGGAAGGTTAAAAGACAGGGCTATGCCAGGATGTCTCTTTTTTCTAAATAAAAAAACAAAACAAAACAAAACAAAACAGTTTTGTTTAAATATAGTTCATATGCTGTAGTATTTGCCTTTAAAAAAAGATTTATTGATTTTTTAAAAATATTTATTTATGAGAGGCCCGGCTCGCGAAGGCTCCGGATCCGGCTGCGAGATGAGCCTGGGGCCATGAGAGGTGACCTGGTGATAGTTACCAGCTGCACAGCTGATTAAGTAGCGGAGGAGATTAGAACTCAGTTCCTGGCCTCCCAAGATTGTTAAGAATGAGTCTGCGGAAGCAAACCCCTAGTGACTTCTTAAAGCAGATCATCGGACGGCCAGTTGTGGTGAAGCTCAATTCTGGGGTGGATTATCGAGGGGTCCTGGCCTGCCTGGATGGCTACATGAATATAGCACTGGAGCAGACGGAAGAGTATGTAAATGGGCAGCTGAAGAATAAGTATGGGGATGCATTCATCCACGGGAACAATGTGCTGTATATAAGTACTAAGAAGCAGAGGATGTGAAGACACCAGGAGCAGCCCTCTTCACACTTGGATGTACTTGATTATGAAGAGCTTGTTTTTTTGTTCTTTTACGACCCTAGTTGCTGCCTGTTTTCATAGTGGTTGGTGTGTTTTGTTTTGTTTTTTTAATTGACATTTAAATAAGATGGAAGTGTTACATTACAAATCAACGTTTCATGTTCACATTTACTCCTGTCTGTACAGAATATTAAAATTAAAAAAAAGGCAAAAAAATTATTTATTTATTTTTTATGTATACAATATTCTGCCAGTGTATATGCCTGCAGGCCAGAAGAGGGCACCAGACCCCATTACAGATGGTTGTGAGCCACCATGTGGTTGCTGGGAATTGCATTATTCTATGCCTGTGAAGAGACACCATGACCAAAGCAACTTATAAAAGAAGTCAGCAACTTATAAAAGAAGTCAGTTTCAGAGGGTGAGCCCATGACCATCATGGTGGGGGACATGGCAGCAGGCAGGCAAACAGGGTACAGGAGTAGTAGCTGAGAGCTTTTGTGTTGAGACGAGAGAGAGAGAGAGAGAGAGAGAGAGAGAGAGAGAGAGAGAGAGAACTGAAACTGGTGTGGGCTTTTGAAACCTCCTCCATCAAGGCCATACCTCCCGACCCTTCCAAAACAGTTCCACCGACTGGGGATCAGGTATTCAAACATATGAGCCTATGAGACCCTTTCTCGTTCAAGCTACCATGTCCTTTATCCCAGAAGTTTTTCTCTCATCTCATTGATTAGTCTTTCCAATCTCACTTATTAAGCTTATGTGCTACATCCCTAGCAAGACACTGAAGCTGGGACTTTGGGACTGCTGCCCTGTTAGACCAGGTTAGATCAAGAGAACTGAAAAGTCAAAACAGGACCTCTACAGCTGGAGCTCCTATGAAAGCCCATGGCACCCCGAGGACCACTGTGGTCCACGCGGTGATGAGCATGTGTTTGTGTATAACAGTGAATTCTGAGTTTGTATTCTCCAATTGCAGCTTCACAGACTCCAAGGTATTATATAAAGGCAAGTCCACAGGAGAAACAAATTAAAAGAAAGTACCCTGACTTCATCTTTTGTCCTTTGAAACTGGCTGCCTTATGGAAGTGGAGGCTGTTTGACAAGGCACACTTAAGTAGCAGGGGCTTAGTGAGCAGTTGATTGACGGATGGTGTGACTTCAAGTTTTTCCTGAGATGGTGACCCTGTCTTCTTTATTATTTCTTTATTAGAAGCTGATTATAGAGCCGGGCAGTGGTGGCACCCAACTTTAATCCCAGTACTCGAGAGGCAGAGGCAGGTAGATCTCTGAGTTTGAGACCAGCCTGGTCTACAGTGTGAGTTTTAGGAGAGCCAGGGCTACACCGAGAAACCCTGTCTTGAAAAATCAACCAACCAACCAATAAATAAATAAAAACTTAAAAAAAAAACCTGACTTCAAAGCCCAGTTGAAGCAGTAGCTTGAGTAGGATTTGTATTATTTCAAAATAGATACTCTTGATCTTAAGTATGGAACCTATCTGCTTTTCAAACATTTTAAAACATTTATTAGAGAGAGAGAAAGAGAGAGATAACAAGAGCTCGTGGGCAGGCACATGTGCCACAGCACGCTTGTTGAGGCCAGAGAACATCTTGCAGGAGTTATTTTTCTCTTTCCACACTGTCAGCTTCTGGGATCGGAACTCAACTAGTCAGGCTTGGCAGCAAGCACCTTTACCCACTAAGCCATCTTGCCTACCCCAGAACCCTATCTGATTTGTTTCTGAATGATCTCATTTATTCATTCAGCAAATATTCGATGTAAGCTTATGTGTTTAGCTTGGTGATGGACTATACTGCTCTAAAGACAAGCACACATGATCCCTGGCCTTGCTAAGTTTACATGGAGTGTGTAGTCTATTCCGATTGTCATAATAAAATATCACAGGCTAGGTGGCTTAAACAACAGAAATTGGCCGGGTGTGGTGGTACATGCCTTTAATTCCAGCACTCAAGAGACAGAGACAAGCGGATCTCTTTGAGTCTGAGACCAGCCTGGTCTACAGAAGGGAGTTCCAGGACAGTCAGAGGTGTTATGCATAGAAACCCTGTCTTGAAAAACCAAAACCAAGAAAAAAAAAGTCCCACAACAACAGAAATGTATTTCCTCATGTTTCTGGAGGCTGGAAGTTCCAAGTCACGGTCCAGCAGGGTCAGTTTCCCGTGATGGCACTTACATACTACTGAATTAGGACCCTACTCTCTGACTCCGTTTAATTTCAGTTTCCTCCTTAGATGTTTGACTCTTCAATCCAGCCCTTTGAGGATTAGGACTTCAATGTGTGCTCTTTCTGGGTTATGGTGCTGGGAAATATCCAGTCCATAAGAGTGAGGACGATAGACAACGATGTGATTATCAACCGAGGTTTCTGGTACAGAGGCTGAGGCAGGAGGATTGCCACAGTACAAGGCCAGATAGGGCTGCATGTAGAATACCAGACATGCCAACTTTACAGAAGGAGACTCCATGACCAAAAAGATCCAAACAACAAAACAAAATGAGGCAAATTACAAGCAATAATGAACATGTTAGCGAAGGACATGGAGGTAGAGAAGACTTCTGGAAGCTTAACAAATATCACTTGGCAATGTTTGTGATGTGCCCAAGTCTCCACTGCATTACTTTTATGGCTTTGTATATCATATATTAAATATCACATATTTCAAGATATTTAAGAAACACCATTGACTACCACATTGAGGGAGTTAGCGAAGGGGACAAACTCTGCCTAGCATAGGAGCGGTAGGAAGCCAATTCAGATGCCTGTGGGAGCCAGGAGTACCAGGAGGGATGTGGAGCAGCCCAGGTGAGGGAGGAAGGCAGTGCTGAGTGGTCAAAAGTCTCACTCAGTCAACTTCAAAAGGGTTGCTGAACTTGGTCGTTTGGCGGGCAGAGAGAGCCACACTGCTTAAGTTGGCCTCATTTCAGAGCGACGAGGCCACTGGGCCTGATTTCTGGCTTTGATGCCTGTTCTTCGGCTAGGCTGTGTTTGGCATCCGAGATAGTTTTGGTTGGTATGTTTGAAGCGAGGCTTTCTGTGTTGCTGTGGGGAGTAACGACATGCTAGGTTTTTCTTAGGCATCAGTCTGTGTCAGCCTGCCCATCTGTCCATTTGTCCAGCAACCACTGATGAAAAACCTACTGCGGAGGTTTGGGGGTAGTTCCTCAGATTTTAGGGTCTACCAGTCATAGTCTGGGGCTTCTAACCAGGGACAAATAATATCTCCAGGTTTCTACGTGGCTTCCATATTTCCGAGCACAGGTTCCGTTGCCACAAGTTCAAAGCCAGTCAGGACTGCAGGTAGAGTCCCAGACCTGCCAAGTTTATAGACTGAGACTCCATGACCTATCTCGTGTAACCCACAGGCTGCTGTGTTTGGTAGGTTTCTATTCTGCGACCCCAGAAACTGAGACTTAGTTTCAAGACCTTTCGTTTAAAGCGAAGGGGTTTTCACCTGATGTCAAGCTAGCTCCTGATGATGCAGGGCCTGGCCTTAAAGGGCCAGAGCTATG